CAGGTATATTTTATTTAATATTTTTTCTCTGCACAAATCTTGCCAATAGATTATTGGCTACATTTAATGTAACACAATCCGCAGAAGTTTTTAAAAATTAAAAAAAAAATTGTGGGAATGGTATTCTAAATATCATACACAATTGCCATGGACAGCATTCACAACAAAATCCCTAATATAAAAGTAAATAGTTCAAGAATGAGAGACTTAAAACATCAAATTAGAAAGAAAATGCTTCTTTAAAGTGTAACATGCCTTAGTCTTTTTAATAAATAATTATAATATGAATATATATTAATATGTAATTTTTTAATGATAAACATTTAGCAACAAGTCGGTCACATGAACATGAGCCAGCCCGTGTGACCAACCTATTGAATTTACATATTATATTTTGTTGTATTTTATATAACAAGGATGATGATGATAAAATTATTTTTATTAATTAATTAATTAATTAACCATCAGATGTTCCTGTTAATAGAGCTAACATTGCAACAAATAAATTTATAATATCAAGATATAAATCAACTGAAGCCATAATATATTCTGTAATTAACAATAATAATTGAATCGGTTAATTAATAAGAATAACAATTATAACAATAATAATTATAATAGTAATTAATTACCTTCTGGATTCAATCTATTAAATATCATATAGGTATCGTATATTATATATGCACTGAATAATAATGCGGCCATACCACTAATAAACATATGGTAGTGTGCATCAAAAGGAAATAACCAACCAACCATACCAGCAAATATTACAACCCATATGCCAGCATATAGAAATGGCTTCCATGAACTAAAATCAATCTTTGTTTGGAGAGTAAATAATTCTAAAGCAATGAAAACCCCAAAAGTAATCAGAAAAGATTGTAATACAACTTTTGAAGAGTATAAAGAAACTGTGGATTAAGTAAAAATATTAATATTATTTATTATTATTAATTATCAATTGTTATTATTATTATTATTTTAATTAGCAAGAAAATATCTACCAATTGATGCAACTCCGCAAGATAAACACAGTGTGAATATTATTAATAGTATCATGTTAAATGGATGTTTTTTTCTTTGCCAAAATAAAAATATTAATGTGATCAATGCTAAAATCATTGACACAAAAAATATCCATTGACTATATAAAGAAGGTAAAGGTAAAAATTTTATGAATAAAAAATGAATATATGCATGAATGTATGTAAAAAATTTATGAATATGAAAATACTTACTTATCATTTATAATTGTGTGGGTTGGCTCGTGTAACATAAACCATAATGTAACACCAATAGTTGTTAATAATTGTAGTGTCAATATTCCATATACTTTTCTTACAAATGCTAATACATTAAAAAGAAGAAATAAAATTTGAAATGTATATAAATAAAAAAGACCGTTTTTATAGAATAAATCCATTATTATTTAAATAATTTATTTACTCACCCATTCTGATATTTTTGTCAGTTTGTAAATTTGCGATGACTTCATGTCGATCATTTTCGGTCGCATCAATTCCTATTATGGTATGATCCGTTGTAGTTTCTTGTTTTTTTATGTTATTGTCCTTGTTTATATTATTATTAATTTCTAAATCTTCATAGTTTGGTGGAGGCGAACTCCAATCTTTATGGATATCATTATCATCATTATTAGGAATTGGGGTTGATTCTATTGTTATTGGTAAAGATTTTTCATCTTCTAATTTTAAAGGTTGCGATGGTGAATTTGAACGTAATAAATATATATTATTACTATCGCGGATATGATCATTTAATGGATTTGGTGAAGAAGTTCTACTTATTGAACTTTGAAGTAAAGGATCATTACTACGTATAGTGCTCGTTTCGGGATTAAATAAAGTTGAATGTGATTCACGGAGAGTTAATCCATGATCATTATTACTATTATCATTATTATTACTACTACTACTACTACTAAGATTATTATTATTGTTAAAATTATTAAAATTATCACTCATATTAAAAAAAAAAATTGTTTTTTTAAAAGAAATTAACGAAGGAAAAATATATATATTATTTTGTTATTATATAATAAATAATGATTTGATGATTATTATATTCTATTAAATGAATAAAAAAAATATGATGAAATGAATGAATCTAGGATGAAAATTTTTATGTATATACAAGATATATAAAAATATAAATAAATAAAAATAAAATAAATAAAATTTTTGGTTAAATATTTTGCAAAAATAAATAAGTATGTAATTAATTAAATAAATCTATAAAAAAAATTGTAATTTATTATTAGTAAATAATATAACTACAAAGTAGGAGAGGAAGGAAGAAAAACGGGGGAATAAAAGATTAAACAAATAAACGGTTTTTACATTCAGATTATTTTTTCAAAAAATTTTCTGGATTTTATAGAATCAAATGATCGTGCAATGTCGTACGAATATTTCAATACATAATACATATATAAGTCAGTATTATTAGATTTTATAAATAATTAATAAATTTTATTTTTAAAAGTAAGTTTTTTTTTTCGCACTATTTTAAAATAAGCCAAAAAAATTTATAAATAAAACTAACGCAATTGTACAACAGATTAATTCGAAAAAGGAACACTAAATTGGGAAAAGGATGAAAAGCCATGGAATTTCTATTGTTTTACTGTCAGAGTTGGCAATCAGACTGTCTAATGTGGGTTTTTTTGGTAATTTGGATATTAATTAACACAGCCAATTGCATTTCTAATTTACCTTTTTTAGTAATTTGGATCAGAAATTTACCCAACACCTAATCGAGAATATCTTTATTATAATGATATTGTATCTTTGGGAAGTTCAATTAGACACTATGTCCAATAAATAATCATTTTTAATAGTGAGACGGGATTATCAGATATATAATATTTAAACCTAAATACTAATACTAATACTAATTGGTTGATACATGTAGAACCAATTATCCATGTATATTCCATAAACCAATCGACATACTAAGATCGGCCGATCTTAATTTTAAATTAGTGAAATAGTTTCATTCATACTTAACATTTGACTTGAACATATTTTAGATTTTAACTTAATAATAATAAGATAATTAGTTAATACAGATAAGAAAAACCCGTAAATTCTGAAAAAAACTACTGGTCAGGATGCAATCGACTGTAAAATTTCCGCAAAATATGACAGATCAAACAAAATTATATATCTCATATAAGGATATTAGGGAGCCTAAAAAGTCCCAATAATTTTTGTAATAACGATAATCAAAAAAAAATAAATAATAGAAAAAGAATATTTTTAAACAAACATCTTCATCTACAAATAGAAATGATAATGAATTCAATGATATAATAATGATGAATTAAATGATAATGACGAATTTGTAAAAATGATGATGACATTCAGTTTTTATACTCAAGATTGATCATCTTCATCTCTATCTTCAACCTCAACATACATCAGCATCAACAATTTTAACATCAATCTCAATCCCAATATCCACATCAACATCAACATCAACAAGAAATTGAAGATGGTTCTGTAGAATGTAATTTTGCAAAGTTAAGTTTGGACATAAAAATATTTTTAACACACAAAATTTTCAAAAAAGTGAACCCAATCTGATTTCAAATTTTAATAAAATTTTTGGCTTAAAATAATTACTCAATTAATTTGTTATATATAATAAATAACATATTTTGTTTAGGCCTTTTTAAGACTTAAGTCTAGTCCGGACTTTTCAGGACTGATTAACATCATAAAAATTAATATAATCACCAAATGAACATCTATTGATAACTGGTATATAACCTATGTTTAAAACTAGACAACGATTTATGTTTGATAAGTTAAAAAACGGTTTAAAATATAATATATAATTTAAAAATAAAAATCTAAGCGTCATACATAGGTGACAAAGTAAGTTCCAAGCTTTCATTTGATTTATCATTAAAATTGGAGGACTTTCATCTACTATGGTGTACGTCATCTATAAACGTCAAAACGATCACTTGACTTTAAAAAGTAAGTGATTGCCAACAGCTGCACCAATAAAAATATTTGTTTATAGAATAATTAGAATAATTGAATTAATTAAATGTAAATTTTGTCAATTATGCATGCAATAAAAGTAAATTATGCACAAAATTTTTTTTAAATCATTTTTAATGATGCTTTTTTTAATAAATATTTTATGTTGATCATGTGACAATCATTACTCAACAATTATGTGGCAATTTTGGTTAATGATGAATGCATTTCCAAAAAAAAAGAAATGAATTCTTTAATGACGTCACCCCCCACTTTTAATTATATACAACAAATTACAGTAGTATATTACCACACATTCTTATTTTCCATTTTCATTGTCATTATAAATTCCTTTATAGGATTAATAAATAAAAAATTTGCCTCTCTGTTTAATCATAACCTCCTACTTATCTACAAAAATATGTTAGAGTTTGTGCCAATTACCTGCCTGAATCCAGATAATCAAATTAATTAAATAGATATAAATCTGGCTGGATACACAAATTTTGATTTGGATGTCTGCCACAGAATCTTTTATATTAATTTAGATATTTGATCCAGATAATAGATAGGGGTAGAGTTCAGATACAAGCTCTAAAATATAGTGTATTTCAAAAAAAAAAAAAAAAGGTATCACAAAAATATCACAAGAATATATGTATGATAAAGTTGGATCAACTTACAAATTTATTTCAATTAACTAATTTAAAAATGTAACAATTTAAGGGATTTAAGGGGAATTTAATTTTAAAATCGCGTTCTCAACGTGATTTTATATTTACAACGATTAAAATAAATTGGCCAATAAAAAGTGAGTCAGAAATTTACATGTATATAAAATGCTTCTTCGGCTTTGAACTCAATAACTCACAAATTTTATGATAATAAAAAAAGTAAACCGATAGAAATGAATCTTAGGCTTTTAGCTTTCTATTCCTAGTTTGGAAGTTATTGCTTTCAAAGATCGTTCAATTTTAGTGTCATTCTTAGATGACATGCATCATGGTATTTTAAAGATGTTGTTATTGGTGGAAACAATATAATTGCAAACATGATATATTAAACCTTAATTTTCTCATTTGTTCAACAATAAAACAAATATTTTACATCAGATCCTTTGAGGTCAAATTAAGTTAATGGCAAACATTTTCATATTGGCCTTTTCCATCATACCAAAGGAAATTTGAGCTATAAATTTGTTAGGATGTATCAGTTATTTGATGAAGAAGTCGATGAAGATGACGGTGATAGTGATTGATCTCAATATTGAATAAGAATCACATCTTTGATTGTTATCTGTTATTAAATCATCTGGAAATTTTGTTAGAATTGATATTTTTGAAGTTACAGTAAAATTTGTTGTTGTTGTTGTTTTTGTTGTTACTGTTAGCAGTGGTAATGTAAGTTGTAAACTTTGATATTAAAAATCTTTAATTTTTTTTAAAATATTTTATTTATTGATACATAATGGGAAAAATTTTTTCCACGAGTAACCTTTTATGCCATAAAATGACACCATTTGTATTAGGGGTACTGGATGATTAATTGATTGTTGATTTTTCTAACGATCTAACTTGCAATTTTGTTAAATTAGAGAAAGCAAAAATTCTTTGATCAAAATGATAAAAATCAACCTTAATAAAGATAAATAAAAGAGTCGCTTTACAAACCAATCTACAAATAAATATGTTTGACAAGGTATTTGGCTTGATTTTTTACGCATAGGTGACCTTGGGTATTTGGAACAAAGCATTGTAAACTTGTCCATATCAAGATTATCATATTGTTATAGAACATCATGTAAGAGTTTACAGAATGACCAAAATACTTTAAATAGAATCACTGATGAAGTAGATGAACAATAATATTTAGTATAATTAAACTACTTGTGGTGCTAATATCATATTTTTATTAGGTTTCCTATTTACAAGCCACATAACTTACCCGATGAAGACAGTCGATACCTACCTATTCCCTATTCATCAGGAAGTTAAAAATGCGCGTTGCCCACATATAAATAATTACTATTTATAAATATTTAAAGTTGATATATTTTTACCAATTTCATAATTCCCCCCATAAACAGTTTCACTACGCATTGCAGATCTAAAGGTTTTAATAATGCTATATGATTTCCTTTATAGGTAAAATACTCACGCAACACATGCACCGCTCCCTGATTTATTTTATTCGAAAAAAGGTTCTTAATAGTTGTGAAAGAAGAAGAAGACATTCTAAGAACTCTCAATTATATGAATTTCCCCAAAAAAATTTAGTTTTGTGTATGTATTTTTATTTATTAATATCAGAATCTAAAATATGAGTTAAATGTACAGTATTAGTTATGACACATGAAAACCAATAATAATAATAATATCATAATAATACATAGATTTATTTCTCGATTTCAATTTCCCTAAGCAGGAGGAATAGAAATCGAAATCGAAATTAGATTCGAAATAGTAAGAGTAATAGAACTTTGAAATAGAAACTAATCCAAATAAACAGAATTTATCTTTAAGAAATATTGCACTTTTTCCATCTCGAAATTTTATTTAGAGGGCTTGGATTGAAAGACCGTCAAACGTTGTATCGAAACTTATAAACACTTTTTTTATTCTTCTTTAAATTATCAAAACATTCTTCTATATCTCCTAATCTTATTTGTCGTGTTTGAAAGTATCTCATTAAAAGTAGAGTGTTGTAAAATTATTATTATTTGTAATGGTTTATTTTTCCGTCATTCTAAATAAGCAACTTTTTTTTAAATCCACAAATTGTTTTTTATATACATATTAAAACTTCTTCATCTATTATGTTTATTAAGACAGTACAGATAATAGAATAATCAGTGAACATTCACCAAATAAACTGTTAATGACATACATGCCCCAATGTATCAATTTCCATTGGAGAACGCTTTTGCTTTAACAGTTTACAACAATCAAGGCCTAACATTGCCACATGCGACTTTGACAGTAGATGAAAATATGTTTGCACCAGGGCAAATCTACGTAGTGATCCTTCTTGGGATTTGTTAAATGTCTTTTCGTTTGATATCCACCGATTTGTACAACATTTTGGTAAACAAATCAAACAAAAAATAGAATTTTAACATCAAAATTTTTCGTTGGCTTTTCTGGTTTATGTGCTCATATTAATATTAAGCCATATTCGAAATGTAATATTTTCGAATTCTTATTTATTTATACGCATTATCTCATTATGCCGAGAAACAGATCAAGAACCATATTCGTACGATGGTACCTTAGACCAAATCAACTTGGGTAAATTATAAAGTTGCTTTGATTTATCCACATCATTATAATTTTTTGCATTAAAGTAGTTTTCAGTTCAATTCCTGAAGTTTTGCCTAACTTGCCGTTTAAATTACTGGATTATGGCAATTCGGAATTAGGTATAAATTTGGCACGACACTCTAAAGTCGTAAACCGTAAAATCGTAACGTCATAATTATTTATGTCCTATAGATATATATAGTCGTGATAGTAATTATTGAAATATACTGATGCTAGCCATCATAATATTTATTTTATAACGGCTCTATATGTAGAGCAAGATTTGTTATAATACATATTTAATTAGGTTACACTCGTTATGACTGTAGCAGTCACAAGTTCAAGTATTTTTTTTCGTAAATTTTGAGTGACACTTGACCCCTCAAAAGCGATAATGCCCTGCGACTAACAGTAATAGGTTGGATATTATCAAGAAACTGGTCCTGTGTATGAAATTCAGTCGGCAAAATCGGTGCACTGAATATTAAATATCAATATTAATATGTAATTTGTATTTGCGCAATACTAATTAATACTAATACATACCTTAAACCAGGGTCCCTGAAACTCCTATCACTCATGTGATTTTAACAGCATTTCTTAACATGGAATTTGTAATTTACTTTTTGTGTTCCAATCCCAAAATTATTGGGGTTCGATATTGTATTACAAACATATGAGAAACATCATATCATTATTGCATATTGAGGAATTTTTTTGCCGATCATTTCAACGGTAAAACGTATAATTAAAGACACACGTTGTTATCATTAATAAAAATATGGAGAGTTTTTTATATTAACTAAGGCAAAAACCAAGAGCAAATCCTTAACTATTACTAAAAAAAAATAAAAAAAAGGCTCCATATTTTTATTTTAACGAAAGAATACAACTCAATATGTGTATCTTTAATTTGAAGCTTATAAATCGTTTCCTTCGAAAGTTATGAGGGATTGAATTTTATGAGTTTTAATATAATGCAGACATGTAACTTCAAAACCGCCAAGGCTTTTTTTATTAATAAAACTCTCCATTTTTGCAACCTTAGAATAAAAAAAAAAAGTCTTTGCGGTTTGAAGTTTCACGATTTTTGAAAGGATCGGCAAAAAAATAATGTTAATACATATAATATTGGACCCCCAATAAATTATGTTTTTTTTTTTTAAAAAAAGATGTTATTTTTACCAGATTACATACCCAAGTATGTTCAATATTTTATATCCATTAGTTCTGTATTAGTTATAGGAGCCTCTACTTTACTATATATTTTTCAATGTGAATTAATATACCTCGCTAGATTTCCCGAGGGTTCGAGACAATATGTAAGGTTTTTTTGTGTACATTGTTTTGATATTTATTTATTTTAAAGTCGTAAAATTGTTTAATTTTGCAATTATAGGTCGCTAAACCATCTGAGAAGGATATCGATTACGAAGATGTAACCATAACAACAAAAGATAATGTTCGTATCAAATTATATGTTTGTAAATTACGTTCTGATGCTGATAAAAGACCAACAGTTTTAATTTTTCATGAATTTTATGAGTTTTAATATAATGCAGACATGTAACTTCAAAACCGCCAAGGCTTTTTTTATTAATAAAACTCTCCATTTTTGCAACCTTAGAATAAAAAAAAAAAGTCTTTGCGGTTTGAAGTTTCACGATTTTTGAAAGGATCGGCAAAAAAATAATGTTAATACATATAATATTGGACCCCCAATAAATTATGTTTTTTTTTTTTAAAAAAAGATGTTATTTTTACCAGATTACATACCCAAGTATGTTCAATATTTTATATCCATTAGTTCTGTATTAGTTATAGGAGCCTCTACTTTACTATATATTTTTCAATGTGAATTAATATACCTCGCTAGATTTCCCGAGGGTTCGAGACAATATGTAAGGTTTTTTTGTGTACATTGTTTTGATATTTATTTATTTTAAAGTCGTAAAATTGTTTAATTTTGCAATTATAGGTCGCTAAACCATCTGAGAAGGATATCGATTACGAAGATGTAACCATAACAACAAAAGATAATGTTCGTATCAAATTATATGTTTGTAAATTACGTTCTGATGCTGATAAAAGACCAACAGTTTTAATTTTTCATGTAAGTAGTAAATATTATTATTGCAAGAACAATGGTAAAAAATAATTAATAATGACAATAGTAATGATGATGATAATGATGATGACAACAACAACAACAATATTTCTAATTATTTAATTATTCGAAATTAGGCAAATGCAGGAAATATGGGTCATAGATTACCAATTGCTGAAAGATTTTATAAACTGCTTAAATGTAATGTTGTAATGCTTTCTTATAGAGGGTAATTAATAATTATTGAATGACGAATATTTTTACTTTATTATAATGATAACAACCATAGTAATGCTTTTATTTTTAGATATGGATTGAGTGAAGGCAAACCACATGAAAAAGGAATTAGAATAGATTCACAAGTAAAAGATTTATAGATTTAATTTATTTATTATATTATATTAAATGTAAAATTAACTAGTAATTTTTGCAGGCTTTATTAGATTATGTATTAAATGATGAAGTATTAAAAAATACTAAACTAATTGCTTATGGTCAATCTCTTGGTGGGGCTGTTTCAATTGATTTAGTTTCAAGGAATGAAGATAAAGTAAATTTTTTTATTTTTCAAAAATATATGTATATATATATATATCATTTTCATGGGAAAATTTTTTAAAAATAATATTCTTATATTTTAGTTCAGTGGAATGATATTGGAAAATACATTTCTAAGTATAGTAAGTAAATTCAAACAATTTTTTATTTCAACTTTTACTTTATCAATCTTTATTAACCCAATTCAATCCACACACGCACATACACACACAAACGTACTTGTCTAGCCAAAGTTAATTCCACATGTTCTTCCACATTTGAAATATTTTACATTTTTATGCCATCAAATCTGGAATTCAGAACAAGCAATCACTCAAATAGTCAACACACCGATTTTATTTTTATCAGGAAAATTGGATGAATTAGTTCCATCAATACATATGAAGAAATTATATGAAATAAATTTAACTAGTAGAAGCGTAAAACAATTGAATAGTAATAACATTTCATATAAAGAATTTTCACATGGAACTCATAACGATACTTGCATACAACCATATTATTTTGATTGTATTTTGGAGTTTATAAAGGTTCAAATTTTAAATGAACATTAAATATATTTTATTTAATTTATTAGTTAAATGTATTCTATATATTTTTTTTTGCGTGATTTTTTTGTAAAATAAAAATTTAAAAATTTTTTTTATTTTTTCCCTCCTGATTTCTTAATTCCACCAACTAATAACGTAAATAAACATTGATTTAATATAAAGAGTAGAAGTAGTGACAGCTCAATCGATATAATGTATCTACTTACCAAGTAACCCTCCTTTTTGTGCCTTTTCTTTTAATTCCTTTAATTTTTTAGCTTCTTCTTGTTGTTTCTTTTTAAATTAAAGATCACTCTTTTTTCCATTATCATCACATAAATAAAATATACATGCGTGAGTATTATATATTTATGCAATGTTAATAATAATACTATTATAAACATAGTAATTTAATAATCAGTATGTATATCATACTCACTTCATCAACATCATTTGTGTTTTTCTTTTCCTCTTTTTTAAGAGGCTTCAATTTACCACCTTTATGATTATAGAAACACTATTATTATTCTATAAAAATATATAAAAATCTATTAATATTTATTTACCTTGTCTACCAGACATTTTAATTATTTTTTTTCGAATGTTTATTATAAGTATTCTTTTTAATTTTTTTAGAGAGAGAATATTTTTATGTTTTTGAAATAAAAATAAAAAAAAGAATTTATACGTTGATCTGACCAATAAAATGTTAATTATAATTAATACATGTTTTTTATTGCTTGGACTTTCTTACCCTTGTCAAAATTTTGTATAAAGAAAAGAATGTGAAAATGCATATCTATACTTTTACATTGGTATATATAATAATAATAATAATATTATTATTATTATTATTATTATTATTATTATTATTTAAATACAACAAAGGACAAATATAAATTAACATTATTTTACACAAAATTTTTTTAATGATTAGTATACTATTTTTATTCCCTTCGTAGTTGATCAAGTCTTGCTTGATTCCATTTCTGTCCCTTTCATCTGTTTTGTTTTTTTAAATCGTATCGTACTTGTGGACAACAAACTTATTAATAAAGACGTTAATTTTAGCATCAATCATAATAATTGATATTAACTTTTGAAAAAAAAATGCAATATATTTACAGATTGGTCCAATGTAATTTCGATTTCATCCAAAGCTTTGTTTATTATCATTTCAATTTCCTCTTCATCACCTTCCTGTACCATCACCACCACATCTTCTTCCATATCTATCATTTCTGATTCTTTTTCAAATTCCATCATAATCTTTTGCATAGCTGGTAGATTCATTTGCCTATTCATAAATTTCATTGCTTAAACATATAATGTAAATTCATCAAACAGACAGAATAATAATACATGTATGTATGCATTTGTAAGTTACCATTGTAGCACTTTTCATAGTTTCAGTCGTTTGTTGATTAGATCTTGAAGTTTATATAATATTTATTATTTGGGGCATGCTGCAACAAAACCAGACAAAGTGAACATCAGTGTTATCAAAAATTTCTGGGATCAAATTTAGTTATTATCATCACAATTAGTTTTATAATATCCCATTTGTTATCTTAAGTGATATATAGAACTACTCCTATATAAAAATAGTTAATATGAAGTTAATTTACATTAGGTCTACCATGGAACCCCAAAAATCACAGCACCATTAGAGGTATTTTAAAAAAGGAACAAGGTGAAAAAATTGTACTTTACATTTTCAAAATAAATGATATTCAGACACTGGAAACTTATATGGGGCATGCTACAACAAAATCAGAAAAAGTGAACATTGAGAATTTTATGCTGCTTTACATCACAATTGTATTACCATGTAATGATATTATTATTCAAAAAATCATATAATAAAGTAAATTAACCATGGCCATTTTCAGAAAAAATTCTTTTTGAAATGAATCATATTATAAATTTATCAATTATCATTAAAGAATTACTGATCATGAAAAAGATCTCTTATCTGTCATTTTATGATTCGTGTTCTGTTTAATATTGCTCCTTCTGTCCTCAATAGACCTAATCTTCTGAGCTTTCTAACATTAATTTTCTTATCTAAAAAAAATTCTACTAAAATATTTATTTCATACTGTGTCCATTTTCTTTTTTGAATATTCCGTTCTTGATGATTTGTATACTGTTCTTGTTCTTGACAATTATCTTCAATATCTTGTCCTTGTTGATTATCATGATCAATTTGAATAATACAATTATCTTCATTAGTACGATTAATTTGATTAACTTGTTCTTGATGATTAGTATGTTGTTGATCCTGATTAGGGTCCTGTTGTATATCTATATCTTGCATATAATTACTACTTATTTCAAGATTTTCATTACTATAATGATCATTTCCATATATTTTCTTAAGAACCAAAAACAAATTAGATGGTTCTAAAGCAGGGTTGGCAAATGTGTGGTCCATTGATGGTCCATTGGTCCATTAGTGTAACACTTTAACCATATTTAGTATTTTATTAATGGCAATGGACCAGTCCAAAATCCATCTGTTCT